CTAGTCTCTCAACTTTCTCTCACGGACGTGAGTTGCACTAAGCCATTTATAGTGCTTTCTAATTTAACTGTTTATTTCTTGTATATTTATCTGTACATGATTTAACAGTTCATTTCTCGTTATATATATAATTATCTTTATAAATAAATATATTATATTATCAGGAATTTGGTTTTATCTCTCGAGAGAACCCTGTCTAACACAGTACCTAACAACAATAGTGGCCTCTAACTGTATGTATCATTCAGATTGGGAACCATGAGTAGGTTCGTCTAAACAGGCAGACTGGACATAGGAGCGAAATGAAAGAAATCAACACTCACAGCAATTGGCCTCGTCGGACTTATCCACACAGTCATGGTCGCCATCACACACCCACTCGATGGAGATGCAGCGCCCGTCTCCACAGCGATGCTCCTTGGTGGGGTTGCAATCTGGAGGAACAGCAGATTCCTGAGGATGCCAGGAACCAGCAAGCACACGGCGCTGGTTCGTTCCATTTGAGGAGCGCCCTTCCCAATACCTTCAATAGCCTTTAAATCATAAATAGTGCACAACAGAAATGCGACTCCTGCCCAAACGAATGCTTTCTGACCCCAGGGGCTAAAGAGAGCCTGCTATTCTGAAGAGCAATATCTGCCCAGCCTGCCCAGGACCCATGGTTTTCAGGGTTCTTGCTCTATTTGCGGCCTTTGCTTCTTCCTCATTAAAGAAAAAAAAAAAAGCGTAGACTTTACACTAAGGCAAATAAACAGAATTGGACTTGTGATTGACAGCATAGATAATTGGATTGATATATTTTGACAGTTTACAGGGTTCTTAAGATTTGTGGTTTACCTTGCTCTGGTGAACTTGAAACTCAGATAGCTCCTTAAACCATCTCTCATAAATGAAGTTTTCTATTTGAACTATCTTATTAGATATAACCCTAAATGTGAGGGTTCTTAGGTAAGCAAGGCATAATATTTTTGTAGTTCCCTGCCCCCCTCTCTTCTAATTTATGCATCGCTGGAAAAGCTAGAGAACAAAGTGACGAATTTCTTCTCACAAAGGGCAGAATCCTGTAGATTCCTAGCCATCGGAGCTATTTGAACCTGAATATAAATACCTATTTAAAATACTTGGAGATTTGTGAACACCAGATTCAAAGAGAAATTAGTATTTGTTTTTATGAACAGTGTACTCTCATAAACAGAATTCGGGCTAGAGGGACCATGCTTTTACGGATTTTAAAGAGGTTTGGTTTTGTTTTTAAGGGCTAGCAGAGGCTGTGGCATATGTAGGACAGGAAAGGCAAGAAAGACAGAAGACATCGGATGCGTTGGCCAGGAAACAGAAGAGTCACCACAGTCTGTCTACTGCAGATGGCAGACTACAAAGAGGTGAATCTCAGGGAAAGTAGTAACTATTTGCCCTCATCTTCCCGCAAAGCCATTGCTGTTGCATTGATTCCAACTCATAGTGACCATGTTGAACAGAGGCGAACTCCCTGATCCATAGGGTTTCCAAGGCTGGAATTTTTTTTTTTTAATGAGCTAGAGTCAACTTGATGCCAGGAAGTTTTGAGTTTGGTTGGCATCTTTGTGGGAGCAAACCACCATCAATTTCTTCCGCAGAAGGGCTGAACCACTGACCTTTAGGTTAATGGCCAAGCACTTAACCACTACCCAGGGCTCCTGTCACTACTAGCCTTACTACTCACTGCCTCCTTCCAGGCAAAGACTTCATGATATTCGATCATCTTCAGAGAGATTCTGTTGAGTGGCAAGCCCTATTTTCACTGACCAATCCACCAAACAAATTACCCTCACCTTCTGCCCTTTCCCATAGGGCCCCAATTATCTCCTTGGTAAGAGGAGAGGCTAGAGTAAATGATTTCTAAGGTTTCTTCCAAATTAATTTTTATATGACACACACATAGATTCAATGATTTCCTCCCACCCTTTGCCCCAAGGCTGACTACTACAAAGATAATTGACCTCTATCTGGTGACCAGTGGGATGACTTTACAAATGAACATTTTCCCAATATTTTAATGAATGTAGTGAGCGGCAGCCAGGCAGGTGCTCAGGGACACCACCTATTTTCCCAGCACTTAGACCACGAAGGTCCCTGGTCACCATGAGCCATTCGTCTGACCACAGTGCTCATCCTCCCCCAACCGTCTTCACTGTACTCTCCAGTGCTGGGAATCACTGCCCAGCATTTACCCACTGCCATCCTCAACCCAGCTGGCCCCCAGCTTCTTATTCCAAAGTCCAATTCTAAAACAAATCGCAGTCACAAAGGTTAAAGAGCAAGAGGTGCTTGACTGGGATGATAACCCAGAAGTGAATACACCTGTTTACAAATTGGATTCTTTCTTAAGACGCTATTGGCGTCAGTATCTGTACATGAAACCCAGCACAGACACCTAACCCTGGGTGCAGCTACTGTTCTACGAGTGATTCTTTTAGCGTTTGTTAATTGTCAAGTCAACTCTGACTCAGAGTGACTCCATTGTGTGCAGAATAGATCTTTCTCCTAGGGCTTTAGTTAAAAAGACTTTTGGAAGCAAAGTCCCAGCCATGTCTTCTGAGTGCCTCTCAGAACTAAACTAAACTAAACAGAACCCAAACTAAACTCACTGCCATTGAGTCAATGCCAACTCATAGCAACCCCGAAGGACAGAGTAGAATGGCCCTTGTGAGTTTCTGAGGCTGTACCTATGTATGTCAGTTAGAAGGCTTCCTCCCACAGAGAGGCTGGTAGGTTCTACCTGCACACCTTAGAGATCAGAGCCCATTGTGTACCCACCATGCCACCAAACTAACGGAACCCTTTGCACGACCCATGACTCCCATCCCTGCAGTGCCCAGTGATAAAATAAAAGAGGGGTCATTGTTTATACACGAGGAGAGTCAGGCACAGGCAATACAAGAGGGCTTCAGAAAGTTCATGCACAAATTCCAGTATCTTTTCATTCTATCTTTTCACAGACTTTTTGGAAGCCCCTCATATATCAATCTGCGAAGTTTTGCTCAAGGGCCTAAATCCTGAAAAGAAACAAAAAGCTTTCGGAGAGAAGGGAAAAAACCATTAAAATGTTTATATGAAACTTATAAATGACAAGACACGCAACAGGCTGGGGCGGCAGGGATGGAGAGTATTTGTCCATCATCTTTCCTCCCTTAGGCTGTAGCAGCTTCATGGTATGGCTGCTTACAAAAGATTGATTATATTTGCATGTAAGTCATGACTGAGACTTGGGGCTTTAAAAAGGCTCCTCCATCCAAAAAGCAAGAAAGGAACCATTTTTTCAATTTACTCTGCTAATCACATGAACAAGCAATGAGCTACCAGTTGTTGGTTCTGACCGTGCGCATTTCTAAATTAAAGCCCTGGAGGAAAGGATGCTTCCACTTACCGCAGTTCTGCTCATCGCTCAGGTCCCCACAGTCATCATAGCCGTCACACACCAGGCTTAGATTAAGGCACTTGCCTGTGTCACAGCGAAAGAGCTTCTCACTGCAGTCTGAAAATAAGAAGCCAACACGAGAGTACAGAGGTGATTTTAATGTGTTAGGTAGCAAAAGAATGTCATGGAAGGGAGATCATTAATGTAACCTGGACCACACCTTTTGTTTTACAGCTGATGAGACCATGGTCCAGAAGGCCCAATGACTGGCTCACGGTCACACAATGAGTTTCGACAGAACCGGGAGGAGGATCTTCTGGCTCCTGGGCCAGTGCTTGTATTAATTCTTCCAATGTGTTATCTGACTTCCACGACGTGCCACTTGCCAGCTCCATTAGCGTGGAATGCAAGACCTTCTCAATCTGTAGTTTGTAATGAAATGCGTGTGCACATGAAATGGGTAATCTTAATAAGGGGTGAGTATATTCCCCCATTACTCTTCTCTTCGTTCTTAAATACTGTGGCAGCTTGTGTATTGCTGTGATGCTGGAAGCGAGCCACTGGTATTTCCAAAACCCCCAGTGTTGTCAATGGTGGACAGGTTTCAGCCGAGACTGTAGACTAAGACAGACTAAAAAGAAGAAAGCAGCTCTCGCCCCTGAGGAACTAGCCACTGGTAACTGTCTGAAAAGCAGCAGAGCCTTGTCAGACAAAGTGCTAACAGATAAGTCCCTCGGGTTGGAAGACGTGCAAAAGATAGCTAGGGAGGGGCTGCCTTCTCAATGGAGTCCACCTTAATGGTGTGGATGGAGGCAAGCTTTGGGCATGTCCATTTGCTGGTGGGACAGGCTTAAAATGGGAATAAACAGGTGGTACAACTTGTCAATAATTGGAATGTATAAAGCTTGAATGATTGGATTGTATGAAGTTTGAATCTAGGAAAATTATAAGTCATCAAAAATGGCATGGGATGCATAAAGACTGATGTTTTAGCCATACTGAAGCATACAACAATAGTTTGATCCTTTTATCACTGAATACTAATCCATTGTATGGCTACAGTGTATTTGTTAACCATTTACCACGATTTGTTTACCAATGAATTTTATCCATTGATGAGTGTATGGATCATTTCAAGTCTTTGTTCCTGTCTTGCTGATTCAGATCATGATGTTATGAGTATCCCTGTACATGTTTTGCTTAACATAACAGTTGTATGAGCCCCTAATAAAATGTTTAAAAA